TTTTCCAAGGTGTGATTTATACTATTACTCACCCTCTCTAGTTTGGTTAGATTTTACTAATTGTAGCTCAACACATCAATAAAAGAGGATTCTCCTTAATTTTGACTGATTCAACCTCCAAGAATCAACTAAGCTACTAATCCCTTATTAAAGGTCAAATTCTCTAAAATAAGTGTTGGGACTTAGTCAAGGCATGTAGTGCGTCTTCTGTTTCATGCACTTGCTTTTTTTTTTTTCAAGTTTGTCGTGCGTATTCTGTTTCATGCACTAGCCTATCTCTTTTTATGTTTATAATTTTCCTTATTAGGCTCTTTTAGGGTAGCTTCACAACATGGCAGCTTTTTCCCTTCTATGCAATGATTAGTGCAATGCCCCTCATTAAACACTTATTCTCGAAAATCGATCTTTAACTTAAGATTTTCACCTAATTATCATCTCATTGGTCTTAAGCAATCCACACAAAATTTAACACACATGGAATCCACATCTATCTCAATGTCTCCCCACAACAGCTCAACCACCCCAAACTATCCTATAATTGGTTTAATTGAATTTTTTTTTTTGGTCATAATTAATTCTACATATTCTATCCATTGATCCAATCTAAATAATATGTGATTTTCATGATTATTGTGCTCAATGTAGATCAATCTAACATGAAAAAGTTTAAACTAAATCAAAGTAGCATCCCCTAGTCATAATAATATAAAAACAATTTCAAATATTATCATCGGTCGGTAAGAAATTTTAATTTTTTTTTTTTTTGGGAACATGTTGATTCCTTCCCCCAACCTAAATGAAACATTGTCCTCAATGAAAAGATTAAATGTGCAAAATATATGAAGGACAATAAGGAGCAAAATATTGAACAAAGGGACGAATTTTGAGTTTTACTTGGAAAGTCTGCATAAACTTGGCCTAAATGATCCTTCAATTTCATTAGTGAAAAAAAAACAACAATAAAAGAAACACACCAAAAAAAAAACACACAACATTATAAAACTGAAAATAAACATACAAAATAAAATAAAAAAAAAGGATATCAATCTTTAGAATCATGTATAGCAACGGACTCTTCCAATTTAGAGAAATTCTCAAAAAATGGTTTCAAATCGAGCTTTGGTTCTTGAACACTTGAGATCATATGCGAATTTTTAGAATTATCATTGAATTCAAATTCAAGCGCATCATATGAAGATGTAGCGATAAATTGATCATCAACAAGTTGTTCAATAAGATCTACTAAATGCAAATCATCTTCATCTCCATGTTGCTTGCAAATGTTAAAAATATTCATTTCCACGGTCATATTTCCAAAAGAGAGTTGTAAGATACCATTTCTACAATTTATCAACGCATTTGAAGTAGCAAGAAAGGGACGTCCTAGAATGACGGGTATTTGTGCATTTGAATTTAAAACAGGATGTGTGTCCAAAACTATAAAATCAACAGGAAAATAGAATTTATCAATTTGAACTAGAACATCCTCTACAACCCCTCTTGGAACTTTTACTGAACGATCAGCAAGTTGAAGTGTTGTTGTTGTTGGTTTAAGCTCTCCCAAACCAAGTTGCTCATACATAGAAAAAGGTAATAGATTAATACTAGCACCAAGATCAAGCAAAGCACGCTCTATCCTATTATTCCCAATCACACAAGAAATTGTTGGACAACCAGGATCTTTGAATTTAGGTGGAGTGTTTTTTTGAATGATTGAGCTCACATTTTCTGTCAAAAATGCTTTCTGTTGAACATTAAGTTTCCTCTTAACAGTGCACAAGTCTTTTAAAAATTTTGCATATGAAGGTACTTGTTTGATTGCATCCAATAATGGTATGTTAATTTTGACTTGTTTAAAAAGTTCAAAAATTTCAGAATTGTGGTTGAGTTTTGAAATTGATTGCAATCGTTGAGGAAATGGAGCTAGAATGGGACATTTTTCAACAATAGGTTCAGAAATGATCTTTTCCTCACTTTTGGAAACATCATTTTCTTGCTTTGAAGTACCACCAGATTTTAGTTCTTTTGAAGGGATGGTTTTGTCAATAATTTTTCCACTACGAAGAGTCGTGATGGAGTTAGGATTTTGTTGTTGACTTTCAGAAGAACTAGAAGCATTTACATTAAATTGCTGAGAAGGATTTGGTTGAGGTTGAGCAGGAAATTTACCTTTCTCTTGAGAATGTAAAGAAGAGGTCAATGAAGAAAGTGTGTTCTTGATTTCATTGATGGCTTGTGAAGTTTGATTATTAATATTTGCTTGTCCTTGCATAAAAGACTGCAATGTTTCCTCAAGAGTCTTTGATTGTGGTGGTGGAAAAGAAGGAAATTTTGAAAGCCCCTGAGGTTGTGATAAATGAACACGATTATCATCACTCCAACTAAAGTTGGGATGATTTCTCCATTGTTGATTATATGTTTCTGAGTATGGAGAAGAAAAGGGCTTTTTGAAAGTGTTCATAGCATTGCCTTGATCATGTAAAACTTCTTTGAAAACTAGAATGTTAGGACAATCATGCGTAAG